GGCTGAGGGCAGACTAGGCTGAACCTGTTCATACTGCCCACTGGCTAATTTGAGCAGCAGAACAGAGTGTGGGTTGGGCCAGGTTCAGTTGCGACACATGCCAGTACACATTGAGGAATGCCAAGGTGAGATGAGCCATACCAGATGTGGTTGTAGCACCCAAATAGCACATGTGAAAATCAGGGGGAGGAGGCAAAGCCAACAGGGGAAGTGGGCTCCCCTGCTAGACAACTACTTACATTGGAAAGCGGGAGGCGGGAGTCGGGATGGGGGCAGATCAGATTAGGCAGGGCTCTAACACCTGTGGGCCTCATGTGAGCTAGATAAATGAAGGGCCAAAGTGGGCTGACTGTTCTAACCGGTGCAAGCAAAAATTAAAGTGGGTGAGGGTTGGTTGGGCTTAGCTGCAGCATTAGCTGGCAGAGGCTGGCACTTGGAGCTAATTCTGTCAAGTCAAATTCCAGAACCACCTGGAGAGTGCATAATCTGGGAGTGGGTGTGGCCTAGAAGGGAAACAGTGGGCACCTCCCTTGTGGGTTACCACTCTCACTGAACAGCACGAAAACCACGACAGGGGCAGGGGTGGCTAGACAGAAAGGCACCTGCCAGTAAGTGTGTGGGCTAAATATTAGGTTGGTTGGGTTGAACTAGCCTTCAATGCCCATTGACATGTGCGAGAGCTAAATGGGATGTGGGACAGACTGGACAAACCTGCAGTACATACTGGCAAGCATAAGAACCAGGGTAGGGGGCAGAACTGGTGGGGGTCATGGGGAGTCGCCCCAGCTAGGCTGCAGCTCCCACTGGTTTGCATGAGGATCGAATATGAAGTGGGTAGGATCGAGCTGGACTACAACACCCGTTGGTTCACGAGGAAGGCGGGGCTGGAAACAGAACTGACCCAGCAATTGCAACGACCGGCATGTGCATAAGCTGATTGGTGTGACGGACGGTGTTGGAGTCTGTACTGGCAAACTCAAGCAAGAATCGGGTCTCGGATCATCTCAGATGAAGTTTCTTTGGAGATCCCTCCAACTGAACTGCTGATCTTAGAACCTCAACCTTGAAGAGACTGTCAGCCAGTGGACTCTGAATAGGTTTCATTGCGATTGGAACAGTGAGATTGGCAGCAATCCAGAACTGATGAACCATCAACACTGCTTGAGCAGGACTGCCGGAGCGTGCCTCCCCTTGGGGATCTGGGATGGGGTGGGAGGCTGGGTGGGGCTTTTCCCTTTGTTACTCCCCTGACCCCAGATACAGGGAAAAATGATAATATTAGTGTGGAAACAATGGTATTACCAACTTTCACCCTGTAGCCCTTGACCCTTTGTACCCTAATCAACTAAGTAAGATTATTAAAAAATAATTTTAAAAAAAGAAAAAAAAAAAGAAACCTTGTAATAAATTTAACCGAGGATGTGAAGAACCTCTACAATAAAACTACAAAATTAAAGAGACAGAAGACACAAAAGAACTTCGCATGTTCATTAATAACTTTAAAACGCCCATACTGCCCAGACTGATTTTCAGACTCAACGCAATCCCAATCAAAATACCACATTTTTCTCTGATGTGGAAAGGATGCTAATATTTACAGAAAACACAAGAGATCCCAAATAGCTAGAGTAATCTTAAGCAACAGAAAGAAAGCTAGAAGCATAACAATAGCAGATCAAGTAGGACTGTAGAGCAGTTGCAATCAACAGCTTGTACTAGTGCAAAAAACAGACCTGAACATCTTTGGAACAGAACAGAAATCCCAAAAATAAAACCACACAGTTGTGTCACAACACTGGCCCTGAGCAACATATAACTGGCTAATTCACTAACTTTTCAAACCAGAATAAAAGGAAACTAGAAGAAACATTACTATGCTTTAATTTTTCAGGATTTTACAGAGAATATACTATAATACTGAAACAAGCTCTTGAGCCACCTCTCAGAGCTTAAGGAAAAAACAGTGTGCTTGGGGGTTAAACCATGGCTTGCAACTGCAACAACAGTTTCAGTCCCAGTTACTTGACTTCAATCTATTGGCGTCTAATGTGCCTGAGAAGGCAGCAGATGATAACCCAAGCAGCCCACATGAACAGGACTCCAGCCTCCCGACTATAGCTTGGTCCAGCTCCAGTTGCTTAAGAAATGTGAAGAGTGAACACATAGGCGCAAGATTTCTCCCTTGGTCACTCTGCTTTTTAAGTAAAAAAAAATAAATAGCTCTGAAAAGAGACAGACTGTGCCCTCACTGACGAATGAATATATGGCATATCAAAATCCTCCTCCTTTCACATGTATTTACTACTGCCTCATTTCTTTTATGTTGAACTAAGTAAGCAGTGTGTTAACTGAAAAATTTAAAAACTAAATGGATGAAGATGATGATGGCCTGGCATGATGGCACAAGAGCTAAATCCTCATCTTGTAAGTATTGACATCCCAAATGAGTGCCAGTTCATGTCCCGGCTGCTCTGCTTCCCATCCAGCTCCATGCTTGTGGCCTGGGAAAGCAGTAGAGGATGGTCCAAAGCCTTGGAACCTTGCCCCCTCATGGGAGATGCAGAAGTTCTGGCTCTTAATTTCAGATTGGCGCAGCTCTGGCCATTGTGGCCACTTGGGGATTGAACCAACGGATGGTATTTATAAAACTGTAAGATATTATAAAAAAAATTTAAAGATAATTTATAAAAATAAGTAAATCTTTAAAAAAAAAAAAAACAGACTTGATGGAGAACAGATCTAGGTAGTGGGAACCAAAACTCTGAATGCCCTGATGCAGAATAAAAGAGCAGGTTTTGGGTCTGACGTGGCAGTAGCATGGAATGTGAGACTGGAGAGGAAAACACTAGCTAAATTCGCAGAGGGGTTCAAAGGTCAAGTGCTGGAGCCAATGAAGTTCACCATGAGCTAAGCCGTCACTCACAAGGCCAGCTGGAGCGCTGGCCACCCTACTTCCGATTTAGCTCCCAGCTAACATACCTGGGAAAACAGCGGAAGAAGGCCAAGGGCCTCAGATGTTGCCATTCGCAAGAGAGCCAGGCTCTTGGCTTCAGGATGGACCAGCCCTGGCTATCGTGGTCATTTGGAAAGTGAATCAGTCTTTCTCCTTTCTCCGACACTGCCTTTCAAAGGTCATGCTAAGATCGTAATGTCTACTCTAAGGAAACAGAAAGCCCCCAAGAATTTTATACAGGAAAAAAATGTACAAACCAGCATTTTGCAAGACTCTGCTCAGGGCAGGAGTTAGATTTAACAGGTAAGACACCATGTGAGACATCTGCTGCCTGCATCATACTAGGTTGGAGTATTAGCTCTGTTCCAGATGCCAACTTGTGATCAATGTGCAATTAGGAAGGCAGCAGGGCAGTGCCCCTATCACCCATGAGGAAGACCCAGATGGGGTTCCCAGTTACGGGCGCTCAGCTTTAGCCTGGCTCAGAGTCTGAGGGAGACTAACTGGGAAACTATCAGAGTAATCTGGGTGAAAGTTGAAGTAACCTAGAAACGTCAGGAGGCATTAAAGAAATCTGAAGCTGAGCTGCAGGCAGCTGCCCAGGGCACCTAGGCAAGTGCCAACCTTATGCAATGTGCCAGCACAGATGACTATTCTTTAAAGAAAGGGACTGTGGCTAATGTCCTAGGGGCTTCTCCACGTACGGCTTTCAGCAGGCAGGCCACTGACAGGTCCTAAGCCAGAGCATCAGGCCAGGGACCTGACACTAGGGTCCTAGGCAGGCCACACCTGCTGTGTGTCACTGCACCAGCCTGGGAGCAGACAGACTAGAAGTCTCATGTGTCCTTGGCAGGCCTCACCCATAGCCCCTAAACTGGAAGCCATACCACCCCTGCTCTGTATTACTGTCTGCCCACCTGCCAATCAAATGCCTGCTTCCTTACAATGTACTCCTCCTCACCTGGGACACAGAGGTGGGATCACAGAACCACTCCCCTTTCCAGGGGCAGAAGAGGGGCTCATTCTCTGCAGGAGGACACAAGATAAAAGTAGAAACACTATTTCCCACCTTGCCTCTCCCAGGCCCCCATCTCTGAATATGACCCACATGTGGGAGTGAATTCCTCATCTTTTAAATAAATATTACAAAAGAAAAACAGAAATAGCTTGAACAGGCTGGCACTGGGAGCAGAAGGTTAAGCCACTGCCTGCCGTGCTGAATTCCCACTGGCATCGCACTTGCAATCCAGATAGTGGCTAAGGTGCCTGGGAAGGCAATGAAGATGACCCAGGTCCCTGGAACCCCGATACCCTCATGGGAGACCCGGAAGAAGCTCCTGGTGTGTGGATTTGGCCTGGTCCAGCCCCAGCTGTTGCAGCTGCATCTTACCTCCTGTCTATAAATCTATCTTTCAAATAAATGAATCATTTTTTCTTTTAAAAAATAAGAACTTGAAAATGAAACTAACCAACCTGAAGGATAAGCACAAGCTTATTTGAAAAATGTGAATTTTCCAAATGGTCTGTCAACTTACCTATTTATCTGTCTATACTTTTAATGCTGAAGAAATTTAAGTGTGAGTATATAAATTGCACTTACAAAGTGATAATACTGTACAACATTTAGAAGGGAAATAGCTAAAAAAAAAAAAAAAGGTCACTGAATGAAAATGGTTAGTAATCCCTGCTGAAACTCAGGTGTTGGTAGTTAAATTTAATTTCAAGCATATATACACACAACGCACTAGCACATATCCAGGAAAACGAAATATCACAACTTCTATTACAGGAATGTAACTAAAGAGTAATCCAAAAGAAGAAGTGCTACAAATGATACTAATGCCATAAGGAGGAAATCCTCTCATAATTTTCTTAACAGTTATATATGACTTTATGTATATGACAATTACTTCTTTTGAAACTGTATATGTAATCTAGAAATTCAACTCACTTTCTTAGAAAAACCCCAAACACCATACCGAATATCTATTGTATAAAAGCAACCCTGAAGGCAGAACTGTAGCAGCGTATAATGGAAAATCCTTACCAATTTCTCATCCACTGTTATGAGTTGCATGTCTCGAGTTTGGTCCTGTGCCAACCTCCATGTGGAAGTACTCAACAACCTGCAACGCGAGATCTGAAGTTAAAAAATGATCCATGCAATGAGAAAAGAGAAGCAGATACATCTTACATAAACAAGCTACTTTACAATCTCTTTTTTTAAATGATAGACATGAAAGAATGAAGAGGGCACAAAAGTCCTTTTTCTCTCCAGTTGGTTTTGTCTGCTGGGTTTTTGGCAGACCCTCACTGGACAGATCACAACAGGCTGCACTTTATGCCAGTCCACAGTTTGTGTCACAGAAAGGCCACCAGTGACAAGGGCCGTACTGCTCAGAGGAGCGCACAGTGGCTGGTTTGTCAGACCCAGGCTGACACACAAAGCTAAATCAACTCTTCTGGAATGCCGATTCCTAAGCGATAGCATCACAAAACAGGGGGGTCAGGGGGCAGAGTCATCATAAAAGTTGTTTTCACTCAATTTCAAACCCAAAGTAGTTTAAACAGGAATTATCTATGATTATTTTAGCCTATACTATTAATGCTGATATCCACAAAATTAACATCTGAGTGCTTAAAACAAAACTATTAAGTTAGAAGTTAAACAGAGAATCTGCCTCTTTCTTATCAGAATCTTCCCACTGGCACCTCCAGCAGTTAAGGCTAAGTAAGAGTCTTCCACGTACGCACTGTCCCTTACACTAACAAGTAACATCTCAGCACTGCAGCTTTACAAACTTTGTTACCTTATGTAGATTTTTGAAAAGTAAGTTAGTATATCCAATTATGGTTTAAATTTTTATACAGCATTCAATCCATTTATATATAATTTAATATACATTTTAACATAAAATCACTAATAATTCATAAAACCTTGATGTACACACAACATTAAAGAAATGCTACTAACCACTAATTTAAATCGCTTGGAAGCCTGGTAAAACAGACTTCACCAATTTCAGAATCTGTATCTTCAGGCCTGGCATGGTAGCCTAGCAGCTAAAGTCCTCGCCTTGAACACATCGGAATCCCATATGGACGCCGGTTCTAATCCAGGCAGCTCCACTTCCCATCCAGCTCCCTGTTTGTGGTCTGGGAAAGCAGTCGAGGACGGCCCAAAGCTTTGGGACCCTGCACCCACGTGGGAGACCTGGAAGAAGTTCCTGGCTCCTGGCTTTGGAGTGGTGCAGCACCGGCCGTTGCAGTCACTTGGGGACTGAATCATCAGATGGAAGGTCTTTCTATCTCTCTCATCTTTGTATATCTTACTTTGCAAAAATATAAGTCTTTTTTAAAAAAAATACATATATCTTCAAAAAATGTCCAAATTTATTATAGTCTTTAGATTGTGAATGCTACATTCAGAAATGCATCGAAAACAGATTTATATGCAAGATATTTTATTTACACAAAGTTAAAAAACTTCGTTGACATAATATTAAATAACCATAACTAAGTATATTTAAAAATACATCTTATTCTGGAAATAATCAAGACCATGTACATAAGAAAATTTGAACAATGAACTAAATTCACTTAACACTATATAAAGCAGATCTATAATAATGGATTTCTTTCTGCAGTTCCATTGGTTGTTGTTTAACATATTTGTTTTAAAGATTTATTTATTTTTTTATTGCAAAGTCAGATATACAGAGAGGAGGGGAGACAGAGAGTAAGACCTTCAGTCCTTGATTCACTCCCCAAGCGAGCCGCAACGGCCGGCGCTGTGCCGATCCAAAGCCGGGAACCGGGAACTTCTTCCAGGTCTCCCACACAGGTGCAGGGTCCCAAAGCCTTGGGCCGTCCTCGACTGCTTTCCCAGGCCACAAACAGGGAGCTGGATGGGAAGTGGAGCTGCCAGGATTAGAACCAGCGCCCATATCAGATCCTGGTGTGTTCAAGGCGAGGGCTTTAGCTGCTAGGCTACCATGCCAGGCCCATGTAACGTATTCTAATAGTCTATGATGTGCACACACATTAAGTGTTACATTCTATCAGACAAGACCTTTTATCATTGGATCATGCCCCTCTTTATTCTTCATAATTTTTCTTTTTCTGAAGTCTACTTTGGATTAATGTAGCTACTATAGCAAAGTATGATTAATATTAGCCTGGATTATCTATATCTACCCTTTTAAACTGCTTTTGTCTTTAGATTTTCAATGTTTTTCTTGTGGTTGGCTTTTTTTTTTAATCAACTGATACATATTCTAATTGCTATATTTGGCCATTCATGTTTAAAGTGATTATTATAGGTAGAATTAATATCCATATGCTTGTATAATGTGCATTCTTCCTTGCTTTTTAGGACGATTTTTTTTGGAAAAAGAGTTAATTGAGGCTAACACTGTGGCATAACGGGTAAGGCTAATGCCTGTGATGCCAGAAATCCCATATTAGTGCTTGTCCAGGTCCCGGCTGTTCCATTTCCAACCAGCTCCCTGCTAGTGTGCCTGGGAAAGCAGCAGAAGTACTTGTGTCCCTGCCACGCCTTCAGGAAATATGATGGAGTTCCAGGCTCCTGGGCTTGGCTTGGGCCAGCCCTGACTGTGAAGGGCATTTGGCGCAAGAAGCAGCAGATAGAAAAACTGTCATCCTGCCTTTCAAATAACTACTTAAACTTATTTATATATATACATATATAAATATATATATATTTTGTATATATATAAACCCTAATCCCACAAATTTAATCATTTAGATGAAATGAACCACAAGCAAGCTACAAAAAAAAAATGATTTTAGCAGATCTATATCTAATAATTAATAATTATGAATCACTAATTAATAAGCTTCCAAATATAAAGCACAAGGCCGAGGAGGGTTTCCAAGTGCATTATACCAAACATGTAAGAAACCATACAACATTTTTACAACCATTTCTTAGAAGCAGAAGAAAACATCCCACCTTCTTCTATGGAGCCATCATTTCCCTAGCATAAACACTTAGGAAAAGGAAAAAAAAAAAAGAAATGAAAACAAAAGACCAATTTTCTTATGCATAAACATGAAAATTCTCAAACATTAACACACTGAATCCAACAAGTGTATAAGATATATACATTATTTTTAAAAAGATTTATACATTATAATCAAGTGGTTCTTATTTCAGGTATTCAAGGATGGTTCAATATTCAAAAATAAATGTATTCTAGCATACCAACAGGCTAATAATTTGGGGAAAAAAAAAAAAAACCTGACCATACTGATTGCCACATAAAAGGCACCTGGCAAAATTGAGAAGCAAAATTGAGAAGCCAAACTAGCAAAAGGGTCATTTCTGCAACTTGAAAAAGAACTCATGCATAAGATCTACAACTAACAATTGACTTAATGGTTGGTAATCAGATGTTTTCCCTCTAAGACGGGGGAAAAGTTAAGAACACCTTAACACTGAGCTGAAAGTCCTAACACAGTAAGCAAAGGAAATGGAAAATACACATTATAAGGAGGAATAAAAAAAGCTGCCTTTATTTGCAAATGACATAACTGTCTATCTAACAAAATCCCGCCCTCTTGAAACAGAAAGCAAAATACTAAGATGGGAATAGCAAGATGGCAGTACAAACTGATCATATAATAAGGTCAACTGCCTTTCTGCCAATCTACCAGCAGTGACTGGAATATGTCATTATGAACACCATACTATATACATTAGCATCAAAATAAATACTTACTTGTAATTCTAACAAAATATGCAAAGGACCTCTGTGAGGGCAACAGAAACAATTATGAGGGCAATCACTGAAGATCTAACTAAAATCAAAGCTCCTTGCATAATCACAGAGGAAAAGACTGTTAAAATACCAACTCTACAAATCAACTTTAAGGTTCAACACAATCCCCAAAAAAGCAAGCTACTTTTGTAGATAACAGAAATCTGGTTCTAAAGTTCACATGAAAACAGCCAACACAATACTGAAAAAGAATAACAATGAAGACATGACCACAGTGCTAGTACTCAAGTGTGTGACAGGCTATGAACAAGCAAGTCAATAAAACAGAATTAACAACCCAGGAATTAGCTACTCAAATATGGTGAACTGATCTTTGAAAATGCAATGAAAAGAAAACGGAGAAAAGACAATCTCCAACAACGTACTGCAACACTGGGAATTCACATGCCAAAAAAATCTACTGAGCAAATGTATACTTTTCAAAGTTTGATTCAAAATTAATCACACACTTAAATATTAGGGGCAAAATTAACAAACCTAGAGAAAAAAATCCAGGTATCCTTGGGTTTGGCACTAAATTTTTATTTTTAATGTTCTTAAACAATTAAAAAACAGAATCACAAGGAGAGTGAGGGAGACAGCAAGAGAAAAAGATCTTTTATCCACTAGCTCACTTCCCAAATGCTGCCAACAGCCGCGCCTGGGTCAGGCTGAAGGCAGCACAGCAAACTCCAGCCAGGTATTCTAAGCCATCCAACCCATCAGGCCAGTCCGCTACCTTCCTTGCACATTAGCAAAGAGCAGGATCAGAAGTGGAGCAGCCAGACGCCACTAGAGCTCCCATAAGGAACGCGCAACCAAATGGACCACAATCCTGACCTGCCGCACTGAGTTTTCAAGACACAATGAAATAAAGTATAACAGATTCTTCAGAGATTACCATGAAGAAAAACTAGGTAAATAGAATTTCATTAAATCCTAAACACCTTCTGGTCTGTGAAAGATGCTGTTAAGAGAAGGAAAAACCAAGTCACAGTCTGAGAGAAAATACATGCAAAACGTATCTGACAGAGAACTTCTACCCCAAAGAACTTTTAAAATTCAACAAACAACTCAAAATGTGAGCAAAAACATCAGAACAAACACCTCACACCAAAGACATATGAATAACAAACAGCTACTCATCATCATTCATGTCATTAGAAAATTACAATCAAAAATGATATAGTGTTACACACCTAAGCTAGCAAAAATCTAAACACTGACCCCACCTAATACTGGCAACAATGAGAGAAGTCTTATTCCTTGTTAACAGGAGTGTAACTAGACATCCACTCTGAAAGACACTCTGACATCTTCTCAATAACAATGAAACATTTTTA